GGCGCAGATCATCTTGAGTTTGGCTCTCAGAATGCCGAGAAGCCACATTATGGAGCAGCTTCTCCATGGCGTGCATTTTCCCCTCCATCATGTTCACTTTGATCAGCAGTGACTTGCAGATATCTTGGACAAAAGAAGAATCATACATTACAACACAAATAACAGATTTAACTTATCAGTGGACCTTTTAAGAAGGGGAAACTCAATCTCACCTGTGATTGCAGCAATATTCCTTAAAGCATCTGCGATGTCTGCTGCTTGATCTGAAATGATAAAATGATAAGTTCTCCAAAAAAAAAATCTACCAAAACATTTTAATACACCACTCTAGGTTTTGGTAGAGGTATTTTAAGTTACTTGCCTTCAGTGGCTTTTTGCCTTGGGGTGACTCTTTGCCTTGGTGTACTTGTGGCCATTAAATCTATGAGTTGACAAAACACATTTTAATAGTAGTAGTGCAAAGTTTTAAAAGGCAAATATACAAATCAGTTGACATTTTAGTTACAGCAGAAGATAAAATGTGTACCTTCACCGTTGAGGGACTCAGCTGGCAGTGTTGTCCTCTTCGAAACAGGAACTGAAGGGGGCAAAACATATCAAAACTATAAATTAAACAAATAATTTGCAGTCTAAAGTAGCTGGTGGGCAGTCTAGAGGACAAATTGAAGTATGGCCTGAATAAATTAGATAAACATAAAGGAAAATATACACACCATCTCTGCTGGATGGTTCTATCGGCAGCAGCATTCTCTCTGCCATGGGAACTGCAAAAAATGAAGAAAAATAAATAAATAAATAAATAAATAAATAAAAAAACATTATTGGGCTAGAAAATTATTATGGAGCTCTGCACCCCACAAAATAAAATTAGATTTAGTTAAAAACACAAGTTCTAGCAGTAGAACATCGGCTCAAAACTAACCTGTCGTTCTCTCAGTAGAGCATGGACCTGAAAGCAAACAGATATGTTTTTTTTTTTTGCAATTTTATATTATTAAAAAGAATATACAACATGTTTATGACAGAAACATTACCTGCTTCATCATCGGAGCTGGACAGGTACCGCTTATTGTTCTTAACCTTTCGTTTGGTCACCTCTCTCTCACTCTCGGCTTGGGAATCTTCCAGCTACTGCCTGGCAAGACGCTTGGCTTCTTCATATTCCTCTTAATAAGCATAACAGTCAGTTCATATGAAAAGTTTCAAAGGAAACCATTTAAATTTCATGGCCAAGTAGTAGTTGCAGTACCTGTTTGGCGCTGAAATAGCCTTACTCTATGTTGAGTCCAATCAGGAGATGGATGTTCCACATTTAGGTTCCTGAATGTGGTTTTGTTTGCTGTCCAGTAACAATAATGCACCTAAGATTTTGGAAAAGAGATTAGTTTTCAACCAAGTTTACACAGACACATAGCCACAGGAATTTCTGCATAAACTGCATGTTCAAAAAACAACAAACTCACCCATTGTTTATGAAAATTTAGCTTTTGACTACACATCTCAAACTAAAGCAATATTTTGTGTTACAATGTTTAATACTAGCTAACTAAACAATTTGATTCTCGTTCTTCTTTTGCTAGTTTGGAAGACTGGGTTGCCCAAGTCCAGTCCTTGGGATATTTTAGATACATCCTTGCTCAAATGGCTAAAAGTCCATCACGCCCCCTGCCCCAAACACAAATTTCTAACGCTCCATTCATGTTTAGCTAAACATGGCCATCTCTCTACACAAGATCTCAATAAAGTCGACAGACACAGTGAAAAGGCTTGCTTAAACACCAATAAACATTACCTAATTATTAAAAACCACTGAGCCGCAAAACGTTTAGGGCAGAACATTAGCCCAGAGGTTTACTGATCGAGCAGACATGTGAGAACACGTGTAATGACCGCTTAGCAATGGGGCTACCTAGTGGCTAACGGTAGCTGGACTGCTAACTCTACAAATACACTGGTTGTAGTTATATCAATAGAATAGTTACAGAGTCATCTTGCTTGAAATTAGATTGATATTTTTCTAAATCAAGCGAAAAGTCCAGTTAGTTTGTTTGATTTTACTTGAACAGACCACATAAACTACAGTAGGTAAGCTACCATGCGGTAGCTATTGTTTGAGGGCAGATATATGCTATTGCCTTTTGTAAACCAAAATTAGAACTAACAAGCACATGATAAAACTTTTTCTTACCTGAAGCAAGCGAACTAAGGAGTGAGTGGTTGACAAATAAATCCGAAGTAGCCAAATAGCAAAGAGCAACTAACTGTTAATCTTGTGGAAAAAAACAAGGGATGAAATAAGAACAAAAAAAAAGAGGCAGATTAAGCTGATTGGAAGATGGTCTGGAACATGTGATGACCATAACAAATCAGAGAACTGGCTGGAACAGGGTTGTTGCAACAAGCCATTCCATTGGAATGCAGTGAGGCCAGTAACATGTAAATTAGCCTACATTTCCTTGCTGGTAGATTTTAGAAAGTAAACATTTGTAAACGGCAAAAATGAGTTTTTCAGTAAACAACGTTTAGAAAAGTTTTTTTCATAAAATAAAAAGTCCCATTTTTTTTAATTAGAAAGACATTTTAGCTATAAACATGATTTAAGTACTGCAACTACTAATTGTTTATTTAATTATTGTCAAAACTCTAATAATAAGTGTTATTTTTCATGGATAAGCTGAAAATCTAATTTGATAAAATCTCTAAAATTTTATTTATTCTGGAACTACAGTTATCACGTTGTAACAACGTAGCAGCAACGTTGTTATTCAAAGTGCCGAATAAGTTGCAGAGAGGACATTTAACAGAGGTTGTAAAGCGACTTTTGGAGGACGTTGTAGTGTGACGTTTCAGCAATGTACCAACAACGTCCCCTGTGGAACGTAGTAACCTAAACGTAGCAGCTACGTTGTCACGACGTCACAAACGAAACGTCGCAAAATGCGACGTTGTGGCGACTTTCTGTGTTAGTAGCGTTCTTCTTCTTCTTCTTCTTCTTCTTCTTCTTCTTCTACCCCTGTCCGCAAGGCCGGATTAACCATATGGGCAACTGGGCAATTGCCCAGGGCCCATGAACTCTAAGGGGCCCAGGGCAGCAAGGGCACGAGCAAAATACTGTAGGCCTATCTGTAAACCTGCAACCTTCTTCTTACTGGACAACCTGCTCCACCTGCTGATCTATTGCTGTCCTATTTTACCTGATGATGGCGTACAATGTAGCTGTTACAGGGTCGCTCCTCTTGCTGCTGCTGATGATGCTGGAGGGCAAGGCTGTGTTGATCTCAGACTGTAGGTAGTAAACCGAACAGAGGAGAAATGTTAGTCAATTACAAAATTAATGTAAGATAATAAAAAAAAGGCAAAAATTGGTGAAAACTCTTAGAACTGTAAGACAGAAATATCTGAGACAACACCTGTGGTGAATGAATGAAAATCTAAACATTAGTGGATAATAGAGGAGTTTATGTCAGAGATAAGAATGTGACAGAAATATAAACAGAAAGAGTTGCGTGCTTGCGTGTGTGTGTGTGTGTGTGCGTGCGTGCGTGCGTGCGTGCGTGCGTGCGTGCGTGCGTGCGTGCGTGCGTGCGTGCGTGCGTGCGTGCGTGCGTGCGTGCGTGTGTGTGTGTGTGTGTGTGTGTGTGTGTGTGTGCGTGTGTGCGTGCGTGCGTGCGTGCGTGCGTGCGTGCGTGTGTGTGTGTGTGTCTTCTCCATCCCCAGTGAGTCGTGGAGGATGGCTGCTTATACTGAGCCAGGATTCTCTGGAGGTTTCTTCCTGTTAAAAGGGAGTTTTCCTCTCCACTGTCGCTTTATGCTTGCTTAGTATGAGGACTGCTGTATAGTCACTGACACTAGTCAGTGACTTGATGCAATTTGCTGGGTTCCTTATATAGGAAACATTATTTCTGATTGGCTTAATGAACTGACCTGAATTGTAATGTTTATTATGTGAAGTGCCTTGAGACGACTCTTGTCGTGATTTGGCGCTTTATAAATAAACTTGAACTGAATTAAAGAAACAGAAAGCCAAACTGGAGTAACCGTTTCCCGTGACACCATACGGCGCACACTGCAGAGGAACGGCATGCATGGGTATCGTCCACAAAGGAAGCCTCTCCTAAAGCCCATGTACAAAAATGCATGCCTAGGATTTAATAGGGCCCATGCTGGAAGAGATGAAGACTACTGGGACTCTAGACTCTGGAGTGATGAGACAAAAATCAGTGTTTTTGCATGGTGCCTACAGTGAAGCATGGTGGTGGCAGTGTCTTTACGTGGAGCTGCATGAGCGCTGCTGGTGTTGGGGAGCTGATTTCATTGATGGTATCATGAACTCAGCAAAGTACTCATCTGTGCTGAAGGAGAAGATGCTGCCATCAGAGATGTCTGATGTTCTTCCTGGAATCTGCTTTAGCCACTCCTCCAGTTTGGGGGTGAGTGCCCCAGTGACCACGGGCACCACCGATGTCTTAACTTTTTTGAGGCCCTGGTACTTCTCAAGTTTCACTTGGTTTTGCTACATCATTCACAACCGCTTTCCTCGGTTGGTTCTCTATCACCATTCTGTCGGTCTGGATCTGGAAGTCCCACGGAGCTTAGCTCTCTCCTTCTCAACCACCTTGGGGGTGTTTCCCACTTTGACCTTGGGGCTTCCAGTCCATACTCTGCAGAGCCGCACTGTAAAAACAAAGAAATATTAACTTGTTTGTTTTGGGAACTGTGAACTTAGTTCTGTTTTAAGTTATGAACTATGAGCTGAACTAGTTTGTTTTATTGAGGTTTTTATAGTTTGTTTTTTAGACCAACCTTCCCATCCCTGCCTTTCTCATCCTGCCATCATGACTGCACACCACTGGGTTGTGTCTGACCCACACTGAGACCACTTAGGAGCTCTGTAAACCTTAGCAGATGTCTGAGTGAGTTAGCTGATTGGACTGTGACAACAGGAGTTTCCCATCATTCTACTCTTTCTGTGACCCTGAACTTTGGTCTCATCTGTAGCCACAATCATTGCAGGTACATGAAATAGAGATCTGAAACACTCTGTGTGATGAACCTAGATAATATACGAATTTCACTTTCTGACGTCAGAGACAAAATGACTGAACTTTTATAGACGACGTGATCTTTGAGCTGTAGCTGTGGCTTTAAGACGGAGGTGGGCAGCGCGTCGATGACGCAGGAGTGTTATCCTGAAAGGATGCTTCAAAACTCCAGCCTGGAGCCAGCGCGTGCGACTGAGCTGGACATCCACGAGCCTGTCGGGACCAGATGGTTCTGGAGGACTCATAATAAAACACGTGTTTTGGAACATTTGTAAGTTTAAGAGGGAAAGCCAGGGAAGCTGCGGGAGGAGCTGAGAACTTGTGTCTTACATTAGAACAGCTCCAGGATCCGTTTTATCCGCGGCGAGACGCTCAAACGCATCATGCAACATTTCACTGAGCTGTGCGTTTTGTTTCTGATGATCCTCACACCAGTTCTGTCCAACAAGCCCACAGGGGACGTAGATGTTTTGGTGTTTTTACCTCAAAACAACTCTTTCATGTTCTCACAAGCTAGAGTTGCGCCAGCGATCCGTTACGCACAGGAGCGTCTGGAGGCGGAATTCGGGCTCCGCTTCAGAGTTCACTTTGAGAACACAGATCCTGCCAACCAGGCGCTGTTCGCGCTGGCGGACCGCTCGTGTGGCCCCAGACCAGACCTGATCCTCGGCCCCGTGCGTGAGTACGAGGCAGCGGGGGTGGTGCGGCTGGCGTCCCACTGGAACATCCCGGTCATCTCGGCAGGTGCCCTGGCCATCGCCTTCAGGAACAAGAGGAGCGAATACACCCAGCTGACGCGCATCGCGCCCTCATACATGAAGATGGCAGAGACCTTCGCCGTCGTGTTCGAGCACTTCGCCTGGAAGAGCGCGCTGCTGCTGATGGAGGACGACATGACGGAGAGGGACTGCTACTTCACCCTGGAGGCGGTCTTCCACCTGATGGACGACTATACCGTTAAAACCTACTCGTTCCCTCCAGAGGAACCTCTTAGAACGGACGAGATGTTCCAGGACATCCATGACACTGAAGGTAAGGAGAGCAGTGCAGGAAACTTTGAAGCCACTGAATCCTATTTCAGTTGAATCCCACATGAACAAGTACTGATAAGTCTGTTCTGAGAAACTCCTTAGAGCCCAAACGTCTCATTTCAACAAGTTACTAGTAACTGATAAAGTAACGCGTTACAAAAGTAAAACAGCAGTACTGGTGTGTATCTCACAGCAGGATTCAAACGGGTTGAAGTTTTTTCTCATTTTTCCACCAGTTATTTTAAACATTTCAGCTTAATTCTGGATGAAGAGATTCCATATCTGAGGTGCTGTGGTCCACTTGTTGCTTCATAACCCTGATCACACATCTGATGTTCACTATCACTGCACCGGCAGTGTGACGTATGTTGATGCAAGGAGGTGCAAGCCAAACCAAAGGCCTCCGCAGCTCTCCCCACCTCCTGGCCTCCATCATGTTGAAGACTGTTTCAGATTAAATCAATAAAAGTTCATTTTCCCCACCATCCTGAGACGAACCAGTCCCATGGTGTGTGTGAGGAAGGAAGACTTTAAAATGACCGTGACCTGCTATTCAAAAGACTCAGTCTTTGTTGTTTGTGAACCCAGTTGGAAACCAGGTGTGTCCCTTTTAAATTCAAGAAAGGAACTTCAGTAAAGTTAGCAGGATGTTCACAGATTGGACTTTCGCGGCTCAACACCTCCTGAACACACCTCTCTGGTATGGCGGAAAGGTAGAGAACAAGCTACAACCTCGTTTCTTAAAAAACACCTTCTCTGTCGTGCTCTGCTCCCGAGCATTACTGATCCCTGTGGGCCGACGGAGCAGAACCAGCGCTCAGGGACCGTCAGCAAATAATCACACCAGAAACGTGTGATGAGAAACTATGTGAAAAGTCCACTATTACACACTGCAGTGTGACCAAATTCACAAAATACACGCTGGTCACACCGCACTATTTAGTTTAATCCAGGTATACAGTTTAGATTTAGTGTGAAACTTTTAATAATATAAATTGCAAAAGCTCCTCCATTTGGAACTATAGTGACACCAAATTCTCACAAATTTGATGCTGATCATATTACACATTATATGTTTTTAGAGAAAATACTACACTTTTCTTTACTTGTTTCCCCTCTACTTTTGGTGATATTAAAAAAAATTAAATAACTCCTACACTGTAAACTCTGTTGACACAAAACCATGCGTGCTGGTCAATACTTAGCTTTTCTACAAACTTTACTTTTAGCAAAAAATACTTGTCATCTTTTATGAATTTTTAAAGTTTTCTAATTTCAATGGCTCATACCTCTGCAGGGTATTTCGTATATTACATTACATTTCTTATCTGGTTCAGTTTTGTCCTTGGGGTGTGCTGGTAGCTGAGTTTCATGTGAGGTTTGACGGTTGTGTGGATTTGTTGATTTTTTTCATGGCCCTTTGTATACGTTCTGTGACTCCCGGATATAAGGAATTGTGATGGTGTCTGTGTGCGTGTGGTCTGGTCTCTGTTTTTTTTATTTTCTTTGACTTGTTGTTTTGCTTTCTCTATGGCCCATCTTGGATACTGACAGAGGGTTAGTGCTTGTTTGACGTGCTCTTCTTCCTGTTTGCGGTCTGGTTCATCTGTAAGGATGCTGGTCCGTTCGTATAATGTTCTGACTACTGATAGTTTGCGTGCCGTGGGGTGTTCAGATGTCCAGATCAGATATTGGTCTGTATGTGTGGGTTTTCTGTATATTGTGATTTTACGCTGCCGTCGTCTGTGTGGTGAATGTTCATGTCCAGAAACGCTATTGTTTTCTTTGTTTCCTCTTCATGTGTGAATTTTATTTTTCCGTGTTGTCGACTGTGTTCAGGTGGTCTGTGAGTTGTTGGGTGTGTCCAGTTGTTATTATTTCCAAGATGTCGTCCACGTACCTTCTCCAGAACATGGGTCTGATGTGTGCAGGTGCTGTGTTGATGGCCTTTTTTTTCCAAATCCTCCACGCTCATTATGGCTGAGAGCGGGTCTCCCAGGTGAAACCTTCTTTTTGTCTGTATATTTTATTTTTGTACAGAAAATATGTGGATTTTGCTACTAAATCTAACAGGGTGGATATGTTGTCTACTGTGAGATTTGTCCGGTTCTTCAGTGATCTGTCCGTTTTTAGGCCTTCATGTACTATGTGTAGCGTGACCTCTATGGGTGTTTTTGTGAATAGTGAAATGACATCATGTGAGATGAAGATGTCATTTTTTTCGATTTTCATTGTTTTGAGTTCTTCAGCCAGTTATTTTGAATTGCTGCAGTGATGTCCTGATAGTCCTAATAGAGGCGGGGTGATCTCCACCAGGGCTTTTGATAGGTTGTAGGTGACTGATCCGATGCTGTCCACTATGGGGCACAGTGGGGTGTCTGTTTTGTGGATTTTTGGAGTGCCATATATCCGAGGGGTCACACTGGCTGTTGGTACTAGGTGTTTACCGTAAATCCTCTAATACAGGCCCGGGTCTGTATTTGACTCAAGCTCATCAAGCTCCAGGCCTTTATTGGAAGGAGGATCAGAATTAGAGGCAGGCCTCTATTTCTATTTGAGCAAAATGAACTAATGGTTCGTTGGAGTTTTTGACACTTAAAATTGCGCCCACATTTTCAAAGTTAAACACATTTCTTTTAACAACGGTAGTTTCTGCTTCAGCCCTCTCCCCCCTCCCCCTGCTTCAGCCCTCTCCCCCCCTCCCCCTGCTTCAGCCCTCTCCCCCCTCCCCCTGCTTCAGCCCTCTCCCCCCTCCCCCTGTGCAGCGGCCACAAACTCACTGATGCGCCTGCAGCCTCTCGGAGTTCCTGCTGCTCTAAACATTAAAATAATTATTTCATTTTCTGTTCCTCACTTCTGATGACCTTCAATGGTGTCTGTTTGTTGCAACCAGCAGGTACAAAAACTAACTTGTTTTTATTTGACTATTTTTCTGTCCTGCCTGTTTATTCTCTTCCTGCATCTCCTCTCAGTCCTAAAGAGAAACTGCTACCTGGGTTCATATATATTCACCTCATGAGTTACCTTTGAACTGCAGTTCTAAAAGATCTACCGACCGCTAAAACAGCGGAGTGCGCGCCGGCCACATCAGTTAGGTGCGTCACCGAGGACAAAACAGGTGATGCGCCCCGCTCCACAGCAGCGAAACGCATCAGACACAAATAAAAGACAGAAAACATAAAAGGAAATGAGCCGACATGAACGATTGCGTGTTAAATTAGTTTTTGAGGTGGCGACACCTGATTTGATAATGTTACTGTGGCCGTGCTCAGGACGCAGATGTCTGGAGCGCGTCAACAATCAGAGCTTTGCATGCGCAAGCTGGTTAAGGTTAGGATGGGGGTTAAATTGCAAGAAGGTAAACGTCACAATTTGGTTAAATGTCCGTTTTACGGCGGGTGTCAGTACCGACGCTCTGGCACAGCGCGTTGCCCCCCGACGCGCAGGAGCGTGTCACCTGCTGACAGCAGGCTGCTGTCTTTTCCGAGGGCTGCATCTTGCCGGTCATTATCACGTGACAGCGACTAGTCGATGACAGGCATAACAAGTCACTATAGAGCGGTGAAGTCGACTAGTGACTAGTTCATACAACCCCTGCTACTGCTCCCCAGAGTGTTCTGCAGCATAATCAGCACGTTCTCTTTGAACTTGATATCAAATTTTCGCCTCCTCTTCATCTCCGCACGGTTAAAGTTACCCTCGCGGTCTATCACTGGCAAATCAAAAGTGAGACGATGACACAACCGCCCCCCGTACTTGCTTGTTACCACATTCCACCCGGCCACAATAAGAGACCGGCCATTATTCACCTCCGCCGACTCCGACACCGGCCAAAATATGATACCCGGCCGTTAATTGAATACAGGCCTGTATTAGAGGATTTACTGTATGTATGTCTGATCTCAGAATTGTGTGTACTGAAACTCTAATTTTACTCTGGGATTAATAAAGTATCTTTAAATTTGAATTGAATTGAATATAAAATTTAATACAAACAGAGGCAACCCAGGCCTTCAGCCCTTGAGGAACAGTTTTTTGAAGATCAGAAACTAGAAGCAGTTCCTGCAACCACCAAGAAAGACCAGGCTCAGGTGGAGCTGAAACGTACAGAAGTCTTCCTTCTTCGTTGTTGATGACGAGGATTCTGAGTACTTATTTTGTTTTGTGGCTGAACGAGTGTAACCTGCTGCTGCTCTCTTGATTAGATTTCTGTTGGCAGCAGATGTTTGATGTTATCACACATGCAGAGCTTAACACAGACCGTGTCTCATCAAGTAAACATCATCTGTGCTTTCATCATGACTCTGTTCTGCTGTTCCAATTTAATTATGTTGCACCACAGTGTTGCTCAAAATGCAGATTTTCCTTTTACAGCCAAACTAAACCACAGGTGACGTTATTCCTGATGAAACTTCTGAGGATAAAACACACAAGGATTTTCAGGACGCTTTTTCAATTCAATTCAAATATAAAGCGCCAAATACAACAAGAGTCGTCTCAAGGCACTTCACAAAGTCAACATTACAAATGAGTTCAGTTAATTAAGCCAATTACTTAATGGTTTCATATAAAAGGAACCCAGCAGATTGAAACAAGTCATTGACACTACTTTACAGCAATCATACTAAGCAAGCCTGCAGCGACAGTGGAGAGGAAAACTCCCTTTTAACACACACACACACACACACACACACACACACACACACACACACACACACACACACACACACACACACACACACACACACACACACACACACACTAAGTAGTTTTTCTATGGCTGCATACATTGTGATTTCTTACGAGATTCAATTTCTTAACAAAATCTATAATCTATAATCAATTGAACAGGTGAACTAGTAGTAGCACTTTCCGTGTTAAAGTAAATCGTTATTATCAAGAGAGGTTGAATGTTTAAGTGGTTAGCAGCAGTGTGCTAGTCGATGGCCCCCTCCATGAGGCCACCACAGCTCAGCAGAACATCGTTGTAGCTTCTTCTGG